TAGTAATTTTTATCGTGATCCCATTAATTGAGATATGATATCAAGCAATTCTGTTCGTGAAGTTACCACAGTTTTATTATATTAATAAATAAACTTTTGAATACAACCGCGTCTTATATAAAACAATGGGAAACACCAAATCAGAACTAGATTTATTGAAACAAGAGAATGCCAGACTTATGGCTAGAATTGCAGAATTGGAACGAACTGTAGAAGAGAAAGATGAGCTTATGGCTAGAATCGTGGAATTGGAGCGATATAAATCAGATACTGTGAACCTTATAACTGAGAATATTGAGCTTAAAGATAGAATCACAAAATTGGAGCAAAAACAGTCTTCGACTTGTCTAGAATTACCGATCGATCTTCAACCCCAGGGGAGCGATTCTGAAATATCATCCATTCCACCATCTACTAAAGAACACTCTATTGATTCCGCGTCCTTAGAGAAGAATTCTGGTAGTCATCCTGAAAAGATAGAAAACATATCCGATAACACATCTAGCCACGAAGTGACTGCCTCCGGCAATTCTGATATATGTCAAGAATCGGGAATCTCCACATCTCATATCTCTGCAAAACCTAAATCATTGGAAGAAAAAGAAATTAACGATTTCTTATATGAGAAAAATAAGGAAAGGGTTAGTAATGAAATAAGGGAGAGGAACCGGGAAAAGAAGTTTCAAACTCAAGATACTCCCTCTATTATTATCCGTGAACAGAAAAACCTCCAATCGAATCCTCAGCACGAGGGAGCAAGTATTGACTCGACTTTGTCAAGAATTTCCAATAGCGAAGCTAGTGCTAAGGCACATAAATCAGAACAAATATCTATCGATCAAAAAGTTACCCGTAATCAAATGGTAGAACAAGGTTTAATACAAGAGTTAACAGAATTTATCATAGAAGAGAGCATTGAAATTAAGAAATCTTTTTATTTGAACGATAAGAAAACTGTTACTGTACAGAGCTTAGTTCATTTATACCAGAAAGCAAGCTTGGCGGAAAAAAATACAATTCAAGCTAAACAGGAAGAAATTTTATGCTGGTATTATTACGGGAAAGACTTTGAAAAAATGGTTAGTGAAATTTTGTCTAATCCTTTGGGAATTGGAGCTGGTTGCAAAAATAATAAAAGAGCTAATGATCTTGCAAGAGGCCAAATTTATGATGAAATGATTTCACATCTTTCAGGCATTACACGTGAAAATTTGCGTAAGAAAACTCAGAGAATTATTAAAATTTATAATCTATTCGAAACAATAGGTAAAGATAAAATTAAGCAAGTTCGATCTTATAGTGCAACTACTATTTCATGTTTAACTGATACTAATATTCAAAATATTATCAATTCCGTTTCCAAAAAATCACATGACTGCGAGACAAATCTGTCCCGCACTTATAAAGAAAATTTATCTTCTGATTTTAGTCTTTCTCCAAAAATAGAACACGAAGTATCAGAAAACAAGGTAGGTGTACCACCTGTCTCGAAATCCGCTGTTAAGGAGACCTCACCAGAAACTAAAGTAAGTGAAGTATCTACATCTCAACTCAAAGAGAACCCACTCGAAAAACAAAATAATCCAATCCATACCCATGCTAATTTCCGCAACAAAACATTGGAGCTATATCCCGATTTATATTATGAATATAGGAGCAAAAAAAAATATTGATTATTATGGGGTTAATGCTGAATCGCCATGTCCAATATGCAAGTTAAATCATGAGGATGAGGATGGTATAAATGGAGAATATAAAGACGGAGCTTACCATATTATATGTGAAGCATCTGGAATCGAAATAATTGTGTAGGCTCGAAGAGTCATGATTCAAAGAAGAGGCATCTCCTGGTCATGTCACTCGAAGCCTGAAAATAATTACATTTTTTTATGATATCCAATGCGGAGAATTAAATTGGTTTGTAATCATATAAAACGGCAACATGAATACACAAACCAAGTCTGAAAAAATATTAA